TGAACAGTAGCGCTCTCTGCAGGACAGATGGAGGCGCCGGTGCACTTACTTGCACTTAAAATACTCCTCATTTTTTGCTCATACAGATAAGAGTAATACATCTTTCGAATCTGTAAAGACTCAAGTTTATTTGTGTGCACTCACAATAACAACAAAACATCGTGCTTTTGTAAAATAATGAAAGCAAACAGGATGCGCTTTCTGCCGTCTCGGTCTCGGAAACTCTGTGTACAGTATATATAAAATATATCTATAGAGAGTGAAATGTCTACTTTCAAATGAACCAATTCAAATGGAAAACAAATTCTCAGATTATGTAATCTGCATGAAACATGCATACAGGCGGAGATGACGATGACAAAAACAAAAAAAGCACTAGTTTATCAATGAATTATTAAAATGTTAATGCAGTCTCCTTACTGTTTTTCACTGACACATTCATAATCATTACTTCTGCCGATGCGCTGTGGCAAGCTTTATACGTGCGCTTGAGTGCTTACTAGGCTATGTAGGCAATTAAAGGCTCATTATAATGATTTAAATGGTTTATTAATAAACGTGCGATTAGTCGACTAATGCTTCAAATGAACGATTACTAGTCGACCAGAAAAATCCTTAGTCGAGGGCAGCCCTAATAGCGAGTTTGTTTTCTTCTATTTATTAATCTGTTCAATTGTGTATTTGCTGAATATTCATCATGTATATTTATATTTACTTTGCATTTTTCTGTTTTTTATAGAAAAACCACACACACTACTATACACCTACAACTAAGGAGAACTGTTCAGACCTTGTTAATCACTGATGACATATGAGTTACTCCCATATTTCAACCATCGTTGGCCAAGTCTCTTACCGGACACCCGTTTCAAACCTTTCAAACCTTTAGGTTTCAAACCTAACCAGCAATTTACTCAAATGAGACTCAAATTAAAGTGAGCTAATTTTTTCATACACTATTTACTTTGTTACTATTTACTTGCAGCTAACTGTTGGAGGGATGTGGTTCAGGATATTCTGCCCAAGCCGTCAAACTGACGTCATCAGAGAAGGAATACCATGCCATGCCTCAAGACTAGCAATGAGACAGGAGGAGCGCTAAAATAAAACCCCGCCCTCTATTCAATATTCTGTTTCAGTTGCAAATGCATGACTATGCTGAAATAAAGTTAGCAGCAACTTCCCGTTCATGCAGACTTTAATATAAAGAGTCAATTATGGGCCACAGCCATATCACCCTGCTGCCCAAGAGTGGTTGCCCACTGAAGCTAAGCAGGGTTGAGCTGGTCAGTACCTGGATGGGAGACCTCCTGGGAAAACTAGCTATTGGAAGAGGTGTTAGTGAGGCCAGCAGGGGGTGCTCACCTTGTGGTCTGTGTGGGTCCTAATGCCCCAGTATATTGACGGGGACACTATGCTGTCAAAAAGCGTCTTTCGGATAAGACTTTAAACCGAGGTCCTGACTCTCTGTGGTCATGAAAAATCCCATGGCACTTCTCGTAAAGAGTAGGGGTGTAACCCCGGTGTCCTGGCCAAATTTGCCCCCCTGGCCTTTGTCAATCATGGCCTC